AAACCACCCCCCCGCCCCCCCACGCCCTCGCCCCCCGCAGCTAACAGCCCCTGTGACCCAGTCTCCACAACCCAGCTAACAGGCCCTGCGACCCCCTCACACCGTTACCCCACCCGGCGAACAGGCCCCATCACACCCCAGCCCCCTCCAAAAAACGGCCCCCTGACCCCCCCACTCCCTCACCCCACGCAGCTAACAGCCCCTGTCCGGCTCCAACGCCCCCCCGCAGGCCGGCTCCGCCAACCCCCTCACTCACCTCCTCCTCCTCCTCGCCCGGGCAACAGCTGTGATCGTCCCCGGCCAGCGAGTCTGCAATGGAGACGGGGGGGAAGGGGGAGGGATTAGCAAGTCACACATGGGGGTCACGTGGCCCATTGGCTGGGGGAGTCACGGGGCCCGTTTGCTGGGGGGGGTGTCATGGGGCCTGTTAGTTAGGGGTGAGGCTGGGGTCACAGGGCCTGCTAGCTGGGAGGGGCGATGGGGCCTGTTTTCTGGGTGCAGTGTGGGTGTCTGGGGTGCGTCACGGAACCTGTTAGCTGGGTTGTGGGGGGTGGGTCACGGGGCCTGTTTTTGGAGGGGCTGGGGGGTGTCAAGGGACCTGTTAGCTGGGTTGTGGAGACTGGGTCACAGGGGCTGTTAGCTGCGTGGGGTGAGGGTGTGGGGGGTCAGGGGGCTGTTTTTTGGAGGGGGCTGGGGTGTGATGGGGCCTGTTCGCTGGGTGGGGTAACGGTGTGAGGGGGTCGCAGGGCCTGTTAGCTGGGTTGCAGAGGGTGGGTCAGAGGGCCTGTTTGCAGGGTGGGTTTGCTGGGTGGGCAGTCACAGGGGCTGTTAGCTGGCTCGTGTGGGGGTAGGGTTGCCAACTTTCTAGTCACACAAAATTGAACACCCTAGCCCCGCCCCTTCCTGGAGGCCCTGCCCCTTCCCCGAGGCCCCACCCCCCACTCACTACATTCCCCCTCCCTCAGTGGCTCGCTCTCCCCCACCCTCACTCACTTTCACTGGGCTGAGGCAGGGAGTTGGGGTGCAGGAGGGGGTGAGGGCTCCGGCTGGGGGGGGGGTGCAGGCTCTGGGGTGGGGCTGGGGACGAGGGGTTTGGGGTGCAGGAGGGGGCTCCAGGTTTGGGGGGGCTCAGGGCAGGGGCTCGGGGCGTGGGCTTACCGGTCAGCGGCGCTAAGGCAGGCTCCCGGCCTGTCCCGGCTCCGCGCTGCACCCCGGAAGCGGCCAGCAGGTCCGGGCCCTAGATGCGGGGGCCAGGAGGCTCCATGCGCTGCTCTCGTCCGCAGGCACCGGCCAATGAGAGTGCGGAGCCGGTGCTCGGGGCGGGGGCAGCGCATGGACACCCGTGGCCCCCCCGCCTAGGAGCCAGACCTGTGGCCACTTCCGGGGCGCAGCGCGGAGCTGGGACAGGCAGGGAGCCCGCCTTAGCTCTGCAACGCCGTCGACTGGACTTTTAACGGCGGTGCTGACTGGAGCCGCCAGCGTCCCTTTTCGACTGGGCGTTCCCGTCGCAAATCAGACACCTGGGCACTCTGGGGGGGAGGGGTGTCATGCGGGCTGTTAGCTGGGTTGCCGGGGATGGGTCACGAGGCCTGTTTGCAGGGTGAGTTTTCTGGATGGGGTGTCATGGGGTTTGGTAGCTGGGTGAGGTGAGAGTGGGGGAGTCACAGGGCCTGTTAGCTGGGTTGCAGGGGCGGTCACGGGGTCTGGTGTTTGGAGGGGGCTGGAGGTATCGTGGGGCCTGTTTGCGGGGTGTTTGTTGGGTGGGGGCACAGGCAGCCCCCCCCAAGCGCTGAGGGGCTCGCCAGGCGGCCCCTGCCCAGCCTCTGCAGCTCTGAGGTGGGGCCGCCGAAGATGGGAAATAGGCCATAGAAGCCCGGGCGGGGGTTGGGGAGTTATCCTCCCTGCCCCCCACCCTCAGAAAAAAGGACTCAACCCTCATTTCTCCCAGGAGCCTCCTTTCCAGGCACCCTGCTTGTCCCCCAGTTCCCCTCCTCCCCCGGCCCAG